TACCACAAGAACCGTTAGCCTGCAGGGTAGAGTTTCGGACTTTTTCTTGTCCCAGCATAGAAGAGATATCTCTTCGGCGAGCACGTGGTAGCTAAGGTTTAAGCCCAAATCCGCGGGAAGAGAATGTCGGTTAAAAAATGCGCGGTAAAGTCTACCATTCTGAATAAGTTCTGTGCTGTTGCCGAAGTCAAAAGATTCCCCTTAGAGGAGTGACTGTGGGACTAAGCATTGGGATTGAGTTGGTGTCAAGTGTATATGATACGGAATGGATGTAGGCTTTTGCGAGCTTCACTCTTCCGTATACCTACAGTGAGTGTGTCAGATGTTGTTTTTATGGGTGTATCGGATGAATGAAAATGGGTTGAATGGTGATGGATGAAAGGTAAGTGATACCATTGAATTTTCCTTCCTTGTTCAGGTATGTTCAGGATTTACTCTGTTCTGTCTTCTCTGTGAGTAAGTGAAGTCAGCAATATTCAGAGATTATATAGCTTTAGTACTTGAGCAAAGTGCTTGTACATGAACCAACAGAACCATGTACAAAAATTGCCGCCGGCGTGTAAGATACACAAAGATACACATATCACCACCGTGATATTCGGCCGTCAAGACAAGTATTCACGTAAAGCATTTCGACTTATTTTTCAATTTCCCTTCTCTTTTTATGAAATATATCGCTTAGTGATTGCCCATTATCCCCAAGAGATGCAGTGTATCAGTTGATATATTCCTAATTGCCTTTTGGGTGTTAACATAAGATTCTTTCCAATCAATACTACAAATGATAAGACTGGATGCTATGGGGGTTTAGTATACTGTTGCGCTTGACCTGATCAATGTAACCGAAAACTTTTGCCTCTAGCATGTGATAGGGTAATGATAAGACAGCGAGGTTCGACTGGAAGCTATTGTTGTGATTGTATATCTCGGTTTCAAGGTTTTAAACGAAGTTCCTATGTTTCCGAATAACAATAGATTACCATGGGGGTTTAGTATACTGTTCCGCTTGATCTGATCAAGGTAACCGAAAACGTTTGCCTCTGCCATGTGATTGGGTAAGTCTGATATATGCGTCACGTGTCTCACAATAGGCGTTTGTCACCTTATATAAGGTTCAAGGGATGTGATATCTATCAATCTAAAGTAACATTAATAATTTTAACCAATTCTGCAAAGTTCCTGATATCAAAGATTTCATATTTGAGTTTCTTAACATTTCTAAATGTAACTTCTTAAAGTCAGGTGTTGTTTAAAATAATGTATACAAATACAATTGATTTCAACCTGTTCAAAAATAATTCTACTTCGTATGTAAGTTTTTCCAACACTTGTGTTGTCAAAATCAAAAGACGTAAAGATATGATGACATTTTCTTGACATCTGGAAAATCTTTGGAAATATTTCATAAGTAGGAGTTTACAGAAACTCCTTAAATATGTCAACTCATAGTTTGGTCAGTACGTATATGATGATGATGAGCAAAAATGTTGATGGCAACATTCCAAGGAATTCATAGAATGTAAAGGGTTTCTCAATAAGAACTTATTTTTTCAACAAGGACCCAAATTTTACCCACATGATCGGTTGTTCTCTAGTATAACTATCTTCTTAATAGTTATCAAAATGAAATTAATTTAAAATTTCCTATTTCACCTAATATCTCATTAACATTCGCCATTGATTTTACTCCCCAAATTTTATAGCGAGCAAAAATGTGTCTATATGTGGGGATAGAATCAGGTATTTTATCTAATCATCCATTTAATATTACATCAAATTTATGATGAAATCACATTTAATTTTGTGTATGATTTCACACTCACACACAACTCAAATGTAAAGATTCGCACACACAATTTATTAATTCCTATAAATAGTATTTCCATAATATGTCCTCATATAGATACACACAGGAATTTCCGTTTCCTTGTACACACTGCTTCTACACTGTTTAAGACCAAATGACTGAACAACAACAAACAAAGTGCGTGATGGCAATGATTAGATTAAAAATTAATTACTTATTAAAATTTGCATGATAAAACACAACAAAACACATGTTAAAATTAAATAAAATCATATAAATGATCAAAGTAGAAAAGAATCTAGGGAAAAGTTATGAAGAAAAAATAAATGGTTCCATACTTCTAAAATAAATATTTTGTCGATCGTTAAAGCACTGGTTCTAGCTACTTTTAGTACCGTTCTAGTTTAGTTCTAGTTCAGTTCTAGTTCGGTTCTAGTTCAGTTCTAGTTCAGTTCTAGTTCAGTTCTAGTTCAGTTCTAGTTCAGTTCTAGTTCAGTTCTAGTTCAGTTCTAGTTCAGTTCTAGTTCAGTTCTAGTTCAGTTCTATTCTAGTTCAGTTCTAGTTCAGTTCTAGTTCAGTTATAGTTCAGTTCTAGTTCAGTTCTAGTTCAGTTCTAGTTCAGTTCTAGTTCTGTTCTAGTTCAGTTCTAGTTCAGTTCTAGTTAAGTTCTAGTTCACTTCTAGTTCAGTTCTAGTTCAGTTCTAGTTCAGTTCTAGTTCAGTTCTGGTTCAGTTCTAGTTCAGTTCTAGTTCAGTTCTAGTTCAGTTCTAGTTCAGTTCTAGTTCAGTTCTAGTTCAGTTCTAGTTCAGTTCTAGTTCAGTTCTACTTCTGTTCTAGTTCTGTTCTAGTTCTGTTCTAGTTCTGTTCTAGTTCTGTTTTAGTTCTGTTTTAGTTCTGTTCTAGTTCTGTTCTAGTTCTATTCTAGATCTGTTCTAGTTCAGTTCTAGTTCTGTTCTACTTCTGTTCTAGTTCTGTTCTAGTTCCGTTCTAGTTCTGTTCTAGTTCTGTTCTAGTTCTGTTCTAGTTCTGTTCTAGTTCTGTTCTATTTCTGTTCTATTTCTATTCTAGTTCTGTTCTAGTTCTGTTCTAGTTGTGTTCTAGTTCTGTTCTAGTTCTGTTTCTTTCTAGTTCTGTTCTAGTTCTGTTCTAGTTCTGTTCTAGTTCTGTTCTAGTTCTGTTCTAGTTCTGTTCTAGTTCTGTTCTAGTTCTGTTCTAGTTCTGTTCTAGTTCTGTTCTAGTTCTGTTCTATTTCTGTTCTATTTCTGTTCTAGTTCTGTTCTAGTTCTGTTCTAGTTCTGTTCTAGTTCTGTTCTAGTTCTGTTCTAGTTCTGTTCTAGTTCTGTTCTAGTTCTGTTCTAGTTCTGTTCTAGTTGTGTTCTAGTTCTGTTCTAGTTCTGTTCTAGTTCTGTTCTAGTTCTGTTCTAGTTCTAGTTCTAGTTCTGTTCTAGTTCTGTTCTAGTTCTGTTTCTAGTTCTGTTCTAGTTCTGTTCTAGTTCAGTTCTAGTTCTGTTCTAGTTCTGTTCTAGTTCTGTTCTAGTTCTGTTCTGTTCTAGTTCTGTTCTAGTTCTGTTCTAGTTCTGTTCTAGTTCTGTTCTAGTTCTGTTCTAGTTCTGTTCTAGTTCTGTTCTAGTTCCTGTTCTGTTCTGTTCTAGTTCTGTTCTAGTTCTGTCTAGTTCTGTTCTAGTTCTGTTCTAGTTGCTGTTCTAGTTCTGTTCTAGTTCTGTTCTAGTTCTGTTCTAGTTCTGTTCTAGTTCTGTTCTAGTTCTGTTCTAGTTCTGTTCTAGTTCTGTTCTAGTTCTGTTCTAGTTCTGTTCTAGTTCTGTTCTAGTTCTGTTCTAGTTCTGTTCTAGTTCTGTTCTAGTTCTGTTCTAGTTCTGTTCTAGTTCTGTTCTAGTTCTGTTCTAGTTCTGTCTAGTTCTGTTCTAGTTCTGTCTAGTTCTGTTCTAGTTCTGTTCTAGTTCTGTTCTAGTTCTGTTCTAGTTCTGTTCTAGTTTCTGTCTAAGTTTCTGTTCTAGTTCTGTTTAGTCTGTTCTAGTTCTGTTATAGTTCTGTTCTAGTGTCTGTTCTAGTTCTGTTCTAGTTCTGTTCTTAGTTCTGTTCTAGTTCTGTTCAGTTCTGTTCTAGTTCTGTTCTAGTTCTGTTCTAGTTCTGTTCTAGTTCTGTTCTAGTTCTGTTCTAGTTCTGTTCTAGTTCTGTTCTAGTTCTGTTCTAGTTCTGTTCTAGTTCTGTTCTAGTTCTGTTCTAGTTCTGTTCTAGTTCTGTTCTAGTTCTGTTCTAGTTCTGTTCTAGTTCTGTTCTAGTTCTGTTCTAGCTCTGTACTAGTTCGAGTCCTGTTCTAGATCGGTTCTAAGTTCATTGTGGTTCTATTCTAGTTGCGTTCTCAATAAAATCTCAATATGTTAACGTTGTAACATGAGGGTCTCACTTTGATCAAACGATTTATTCATTAGGACAAACTGACGATTAAACAAATTTTCAAGAAATTATTTACATTAAAAAGAAATAACTCTTTGCACACCTGCAAACAAACAGACACATTTTATAATGCGTGTGTAAAATAATTTATATTATATACGTTTTGGCAAACAATAAATGAAACATGAGTTTTAAGGTAAAGGACGAGAAAGTGGAGAAACTAGGAGGTAAAATACAAATGAAAGAAATCAAAAGAAAATGAAACAAAATACACACACATCACATGTGATGCAAAAAAATGAATGAAAAGCCTAGGGAAATGGATGATAATCACAACATTTAGAATATGAACATTTTAAAAGAAAGAGTATTTCGACAAAATCCTTTATATAGTTTTGAACCAATATTAAATATTTAATTTATTTTTACAGATTTGCGCGTTTTGTGCTTTAATTTCTTAAACTTTTATAAATATTTAAAAAAGTTTGTGAAATTTTCAAGAATTTTAACTTAACACCAACACATTGGGAAAATGGGTTAAATTTTAACACACACACGCAAATACATTTAAATTTGTCATAGATATACTAATACTGGCTCGTGCAAAGGATTGTTTAAGAAACAATAGAAAAACCACAAAGACAAACAATTTGTCTGTCTGTCTATGAATGTGGGTCTGTCTGTCTATTTATCAGTCTTTAGTAACAATTTTGTCGATATAATCACAGCTTGAATAATAAAATAAATATCTAAGGATATATAGAGGAAAAAACCATACGTAACTATAACCACTTCCGGTACATGTCCTTTCAATAACAACAACCACAACAACACACTATTTTCAATAACTTTATATTAGTTTTGTTTTAATCACGTAATTTTACTAGAGTATCCCAGTGCGTATTTAAATTTAAAAGTTGTTGTAGTAAATAGTAATAATATTTAAATATTTTTGTTTCGCTTTACAAACATACACACGCACAAACACTTAAATGAAAACACTCATACTTTTTGCATATATAAAAATATATGTATGTATATATCCTATATGAGTATATAACCCACGTTTACGGATAAAATCGTTTAGGAAAACATTTTCACGTTTTAACGAGCCGAAAGAAAACACAAAACTAAACCTTTAAGGACACAAGTTCATAGATTTTATAATGAATAAAAATTCATACCCAAACATCTACTTATACATACACACACATACACAACTTGGAGCAAAAAAAGCTCACATTACAAAAACATTGGGGAAAAAGTTCAAAAAGTTCTCTTTTCTGTTTTGACTTTCAGTGTATCCTTTTTCATTGACTCTTGTGCTAGAGATGAGCTAAAGTTTGTACATTTCTTTTGGAACAATACAGACAACATTGGTACCTATTCCTTTTGCTTACAAGTTCTAGTTCTGATCTAGTTCAGTTCTGTTCTAGTTCTATTCTAGTTCTATTCTAGTTCTGTTCTAGTTCTGTTCCAGTTCTGTTCCAGTTCTGTTCTAGTTCTGTTCTAGTTCTGTTCTAGTTCTGTTCTAGTTCTGTTCTAGTTCTGTTCTAGTTCTGTTCTAGTTCTGTTCTAGTTCTGTTCTAGTTCTGTTCTAGTTCTGTTCTAGTTCTGTTCTAGTTCTGTTCTAGTTCTGTTCTAGTTCTGTTCTAGTTCTGTTCTAGTTCTGTTCTAGTTCTGTTCTAGTTCTGTTCTAGTTCTGTTCTAGTTCTGTTCTAGTTCTGTTAGTTCTGTTCTAGTTCTGTTCTAGTTCTGTTCTAGTTCTGTTCTAGTTCTGTTCTAGTTCTGTTCTAGTTCTGTTCTAGTTCTGTTCTAGTTCTGTTCTAGTTCTGTTCTAGTTCTGCTCTAGTTCTGTTCTAGTTCTGTTCTAGTTCTGTTCTAGTTCTGTTCTAGTTCTGTTCTAGTTCTGTTCTAGTTCTGTTCTAGTTCTGTTCTAGTTCTGTTCTAGTTCTGTTCTAGTTCTGTTCTAGTTCTGTTCTAGTTCTGTTCTAGTTCTGTTCTAGTTCTGTTCTAGTTCTGTTCTAGTTCTGTTCTAGTTCTGTTCTAGTTCTGTTCTAGTTCTGTTCTAGTTCTGTTCTAGTTCTGTTCTAGTTCTGTTCTAGTTCTGTTCTAGTTTGTTCTAGTTCTATTCTAGTTCTAGTTCTAGTTCTAGTTCTAGTTCTGTTCCTAGTTCTTAGTTCTGTTCCAGTTCTGTTCTTCTGTTCTAGTTCTGTTCTAGTTCTGTTCTAGTTCTGTTCTAGTTCTGTTCTAGTTCTGTTCTAGTTCTGTTCTAGTTCTGTTCTAGTTCTGTTCTAGTTCTGTTCTAGTTCTGTTCTAGTTCTGTTCTAGTTCTGTTCTAGTTCTGTTCTAGTTCTGTTCTAGTTCTGTTCTAGTTCTGTTCTAGTTCTGTTCTAGTTCTGTTCTAGTTCTGTTCTAGTTCTGTTCTAGTTCTGTTCTAGTTCTGTTCTAGTTCTGTTCTAGTTCTGTTCTAGTTCTGTTCTAGTTCTGTTCTAGTTCTGTTCTAGTTCTGTTCTAGTTCTGTTCTAGTTCTGTTCTAGTTCTGTTCTAGTTCTGTTCTAGTTCTGTTCTAGTTCTGTTCTAGTTCTGTTCTAGTTCTGTTCTAGTTCTGTTCTAGTTCTGTTCTAGTTCAGTTCTAGTTCAGTTCTAGTTCAGTTCTAGTTCAGTTCTAGTTCTAGTTCAGTTCTAGTTCAGTTCTAGTTCAGTTCTAGTTCAGTTCTAGTTCTGTTCTAGTTCTATTCTAGTTCTGTTCTAGTTCAGTTCTAGTTCAGTTCTAGTTCAGTTCTAGTTCTCTTCTAGTTCTGTTCTAGTTCTGTTCTAGTTCTGTTCTAGTTCTGTTCTAGTTCTGTTCTAGTTCTGTTCTAGTTCTGTTCTAGTTCTGTTCTAGTTCTGTTCTAGTTCTGTTCTAGTTCTGTTCTAGTTCTGTTCTAGTTCTGTTCTAGTTCTGTTCTAGTTCTGTTCTAGTTCTGTTCTAGTTCAGTTCTAGTTCAGTTCTAGTTCAGTTCTAGTTCAGTTCTAGTTCAGTTCTAGTTCAGTTCTAGTTCAGTTCTAGTTCAGTTCTAGTTCAGTTCTAGTTCAGTTCTAGTTCAGTTCTAGTTCAGTTCTAGTTCTGTTCTAGTTCTGTTCTAGTTCTGTTCTAGTTTTGTTCTAGTTCTGTTCTAGTTCTGTTCTAGTTCTGTTCTAGTTCTGTTCGAGTTCTGTTCTAGTTCTGTTCTAGTTCTGTTCTAGTTCTGTTCTAGTTCTGTTCTAGTTCTGTTCTAGTTCTGTTCTAGTTCTGTTTCTAGTTCTGTTCTAGTTCTGTTCTAGTTCTGTTCTAGTTCTGTTCTAGTTCTGTTCTAGTTCTGTTCTAGTTCTGTTCTAGTTCTGTTCTAGTTCTGTTCTAGTTCTGTTCTAGTTCTGTTCTAGTTCTGTTCTAGTTCTGTTCTAGTTCTGTTCTAGTTCTGTTCTAGTTCTGTTCTAGTTCTGTTCTAGTTCTGTTCTAGTTCTGTTCTAGTTCTGTTCTAGTCTGTTCTAGTTCTGTTCTAGTTCTGTTCTAGTTCTGTTCTAGTTCTGTTCTAGTTCTGTTCTAGTTCTGTTCTAGTTCTGTTCTAGTTCTGTTTCTAGTTCTGTTCTAGTTCTGTTCTAGTTCTGTTCTAGTTCTGTTCTAGTTCTGTTCTAGTTCTGTTCTAGTTCTGTTCTAGTTCTGTTCTAGTTCTGTTCTAGTTCTGTTCTAGTTCTGTTCTAGTTCTGTTCTAGTTCTGTTCTAGTTCTGTTCTAGTTTTGTTCTAGTTTGTTCTAGTTCTGTTCTAGTTCGGTTCTAGTTCTGTTCTAGTTCTAGTTCTGTTCTAGTTCTGTTTTAGTTATGTTCTAGTTCTGTTCTAGTTCTGTTCTAGTTCTGTTCTAGTTCTGTTCTAGTTCTGTTCTAGTTCTGTTCTAGTTCTGTTCTAGTTCTGTTCTAGTTCTGTTCTAGTTCTGTTCTAGTTCTGTTCTAGTTCTGTTCTAGTCCTGTTCTGGTCCTGTTCTAGTTCCGTTTTAGTTTCGCTCTAGTTCTGTTCAAGTTCTGTTTTAGTTCTGTTCTGGTTCTCATCTAGTTCTGTTCTAATTCAGTTCTAGTTCTGTTCTAGTTTTCCAGTTTGAAACTGAATTTTAATTAGAACTCTGAGCTTTTGGGACGAAAAACACAAAAAAGTCCTAAATTGAACCTTCATTCCTAGTACTTTCCTTCCTTTCCTTCCGTAAACATGCCTGACACACATACCACTAAGTAATAGCAAGAGAGGCCAAGAGCATAAATATTAGCTTTGACTTTTTTTTTAGAAAAAAGAAGAAAAACAAACCAAATATATAAAAAAGTTTTGTTCCTTTTTGTGTTTTTTTTTTATCCCAAAAGAGTATTTATTAATTTAATGCATTTTTTATGTTTATTTGTTCGTTCTCTTTCTCATTATTTAACCACTACTCTCTGTGTTTATTTTATTTTTACTCACACTCTCAGTTTTAGTTATAGTTTTGCTCATTTCTTTTCCTTATCACACTTTGAGGTCCTTTTTGTCGTTTTTGTGTGTATGTGTGATGCTTGTACTACTAATAAAAGGAACAACTGGCTTGACTGACAATTTCTCGTTGGCCATCTTCAGCAGTTATTTAAAGGAAAGGAACAACAACGACAATAACAACAACGTTAACAATGAAAGTGAAAAGGACTTGTGTTTATTGGTAATTATTATTTTAATATTTTATGCATTATTTTGGAAATTTGTATAAGAAGGAAAAAAAAAAGTTAATCAAACTTTGGTTTGGAATTGGTAACATTATGAGTGTTAAACTAAGAACTAAGTTTTATGGTAAAGGAGTTTTTGTTTTATTAGCTCCTACGGAGATTTCCTTAAAAACGTTTTTAATGTAAAATTGGTCCATAAATATTATATTTGAATTAAATTTTTTATTTGAAATAAAATTTTACTCTTCTATAGAAATTTACGAAAAATTTTATATTTTTTCAGAAAATTATTAAAATGTTCGATAAATTTTCAACTTTTTTAATTTCTTTTCTAATTTTTAAAAAATTTCGATTTGTTTCATGTTTTACAAAATTTTAGATAACTACTTAGTTTTAATTAATGTTCTATAAATAGAACAGGACTAGAACAGAATTAGAACAAGAACTAGAACAGAAATAGAACAGAACTAGAACTGAACTAGAACTGAACAGAACTGAACTAGAACTGAACTAGAACTGAACTAGAACTGAACTAGAACTGAACTAAAACTGAACTAGAACTAGAACTGAACTAGAACTGAACTAGAACTGAACTAAAACTGAACTAAAACTGAACTAGAACTGAACTAAAACTGAACTAAAACTGAACTAGAACTGAACTAGAACTGAACTAGAACTGAACTAGAACTGAACTAGAACTGAACTAGAACTGAACTAGAACTGAACTAGAACTGAACTAGAACTGAACTAGAACTGAACTAGAACTGAACTAGAACTGAACTAGAACTGAACTAGAACTGAACTAAAACTGAACTAGAACTGAACTAGAACTGAACTAGAACTGAACTAGAACTGAACTAGAACTGAACTAGAACTGAACTAGAACTGAACTAGAACTGAACTAGAACTGAACTAGAACTGAACTAGAACTGAACTAGAACTGAACTAGAACTGAACTAGAACTGAACTAGAACTGAACTAGAACTGAACTAGAACTGAACTAGAACTGAACTAGAACTGAACTAGAACTGAACTAGAACTGAACTAGAACTGAACTAGAACTGAACTAGACTGAACTAGAACTAGAACTGAACTAGAACTGAACTAGAACTGAACTAAAACTGAACTAGAACTGAACTAGAACTGAACTAGAACTGAACTAGAACTGAACTAGAACTGAACTAGAACTGAACTAGAACTGAACTAGAACTGAACTAGAACTGAACTAGAACTGAACTAGAACTGAACTAGAACTGAACTAGAACTGAACTAGAACTGAACTAGAACTGAACTAGAACTGAACTAGAACTGAACTAGAACTGGACTAGAACTGAACTAGAACTGAACTAGAACTGAACTAGAACTGAACTAGAACTGAACTAGAACTGAACTAGAACTGAACTAGAACTGAAC